ACTAAACCGTAAGACTAAACTACACTACACAGAGAATCCATGTTAACATAAATCTGGACGGATCAAAGGCGATAAAGACTTTGCTTGGTTGGGAAATCCATGTCCAGTTTCCGGTAGTTTTGACAATATTACGGTAGACATTACTTTGTAACAATCCAGTAGAACACCACCTCATTATCATCACCACTGAACAGCGTGATACAGTGAGGCGAACTTCACTGATCGCTGCCAAACTCGTATTGTATACAAAGTACGTCAGAATGTTTAAGGAGTATAGGGATTGGACTTACTTTCAGGGACGGGACATGAAAGTGAACCTCTATGGTCAACACAGAGTACACAGTCCAACTGGACATACATACTATTTCAAACATTCTGGTCCGATAAAAAGTGACAACAAGCTCGTCACTGCTGTCGATTCGCAGCCATGACCTTCAGTGTCTCCAAACATGTGGTTTCGGAGTCTTTTGGACCCGACGCCGGAAGACGAGAGACGCCTACTCTACTTAATCGCTCCGTGAATTTCTTCATGCCTCGTCTCCATGTCATCTTCTGGCCTCTACGTGGCTTTCTCCAGTCTGCGAATAATGCGCGCTGCGGTAGGCTATCGTCGGACATACGCAAAACATGTCCTAACCAACGGGGTCTATTGAGCGGGATTCGATGCGATAGCGAGTTCTTGTTCGGTACATTCCCAAACACTCGACGACTTACGTCTAGGTTACTCACTCCACCCCATTCGAGCCAGACTACACAAACATCGATTGTCGAAAACCGCTTAACGATGGATGTCATCTACCCGCAAAATCAAGGTCTCACAACTATGAAGCAAAACTGTTCGTACAGTGGAGCAGTATATGCGAATTCTCAACTTCAGTGAAACGTCACCTCGTCGTCACAGGTGTTAAAGTCTCGCGTACGCTGCTCGAGCCTGGGAAATGCGGGCGGTTATCTAGTTTGACGCGCTACCGTCGTTGGTCACGCATCCATCTAAGTATGAGAAGCAGTCAATCTCAGTTGATCTCTAACCGTCCAATATCAGAACGGGATTCGGCGACAACAGTTAGAAGGTGCAAAACACATGCGGAACGAAGTGACAGAAGTTGCTAATCTACCAAGTGGCACGAATGAATCAGATCAAAATAAGGGTGTTCATTGGATGTGTGTTTGACAAAGGATAAGCTTCAAGTTGTAAGTCTTTGTTGCTTTCACTTCGAAATGGAAATCATAGTCCCGATTCAAAAAACGATTCCGAAGTACATATTCGAAAAAATAATGTCAAATGTACATGAGATTGTTGGTGACTACCTAAACCCGTATTAGGCCGAGGTTGCTTACTGGTCCTGATTGGGTGTGTTTCAACGCACCGACATCTCTGAGTGGGTTCGTAATCAATACTCGACAGCTAAGACCTGGCACGAGGGTATGAAAACCCTAACCAGGAAACTGGGTCACGTAGGTCTTGTTAGGCTCCCTGGCTGGGGACCTCGGGATGATCGTAACCGATGGTTAGAGACACTGAGTGATATGGCTGGGTGTCGTAAACAGTGGCGTTCGTGCATCTCCTTAGACCACTGAACTTCTCCATTTTCTTTTCGAATCCACTTTCAACATTCCTTTCTTCTCCTATTCTTCATCCCAATGGGCAGCCAAAAGACAGCAACCAAAACCGGCGCGCGAAATTGCATGGTTAATGGTTGTTCAAACTGAACTGAACTGAACTCGACATCTCCATCCATCCACCTACCCACCCACTCACCCCCCACTCGCCACATCATAAATTACAAGTAGCCAAGGTAGCCGAACTTCATTGGCACCAAATACATACATATACGCGCATGTAGGGACTTCTATATTGCTGTTACTAGTCTCGTAGGTCTAAACTAATACCACTACTCTGAAAGCCCACAATAGCCACCCAATTATCTCACTCGTATGTTTGACAATCGTGGTCAATAGGATGAATATTAAAAAGAGAAGAAAATGTTCTTTGTTGTATGAGACTAACGGAAGATTTGATGTGTTTCGGGTGATTAATCCATAGTGTAAATGAGGTGTGAGGTGAAAAACACTGGACAGCTGTTTCGACTTGGTTGGGTTTCATCATACAACAAATAATCAGGTTGTGAAAGTTTCCAAACGAGTCATAACCCTGAAAGCTAATGATGAGATGAACGAGGGTCGATAATTGCAACAAGTTCGCAAAGATGGATTTTACTATATCGTGTATACTAAAAATGAGAAACTGTTTGATCAGCTGCCCGGTGGCTGAATGGGTAGTATACTTGTACTCGGATTCGCGATCCCTAGTGGGGTCCATGGATTCGCAGTGCTGATGAGACCCAACCAGGACGAAACAGCTGTCCGGCGCTTTCCAGTTTATGCCTCGTGTACAAGACAAATCCATTATATAAAGTACTTTTTGCTGTGTTCGGAGAGCGAAGGGGTATTGAATGCGGTTCAAAAGGACAAGCTAGTCACACAAATAGCAGTCTCGGCTTTAACAACTGTTTTCTTGAACTCACGTCAACCACAATATCTCGAATCCAAGTGGGCACAGAGTCACATAGCATTAGTTGTTCGTTCAAAGGAGCTGCATCACGGACTAGGAACCGAACCAGAGCACGACCGCTTCCTTCGCTGCGGACAGAATGATGAAATGTGCAATAAGCATAAACGCACAATAAAATAAAGAATATTCACTTCAGAAAGAGGTCGAATATTCACAACAACACTAAAATAGTATACAGAGACATTAAAGGATTTCACTATCGTACCGTAGATCGTGAAGGAAACTAATCAGACAGATATCGCTAGGTAATAATATTATATATATATGCAATTAAAATGGGAAAAACAGATTAAAGGGAACAGGAGTAACAATTTTTTGTTCGTTTTACCGCACACATTGTGATATCCTTTTGTCTATTACGGGCAATGGGGTTTCAGCAAATAAAATTGTATGACAATCGCGATACAGACTTTCATTCTGAGTCAGACTTCAACAGCCCTAGTCATAGGCAACCCCCATCCCTTGTAAACACAACCTGGAAAGCAAACTGTACCGATCACAGTCAATGCTGAAGCTAACTTCTTCAAACCACTACGCCATGTCATAGTCTGACAGTCGCGAAGCTTCTTCCAGTCTGACCTTGCACGTGCAAACAGAGCACGGAGAAGTAGACTATGAACAGGTGTGTGCATAACATGACCGAGTCGTCGGAGAACGGCTGTTTGTAAGAAACATACGACGAGGAATTTTGTCGTCAATCGTCACACCATGTTCCCATCTAAAAGGAGTAAAGTTTCGAAAGTATCGATGAACGAGGTAAATATTGAGTAGATCAACATTTGACACGTGGAGATTTGACTCAGTAGCCTTTGGGCTAAAGTTTAATGTATGGGAAAAAAATATCTGGATAAAATACAACGATGCAATCGATTATCGTGAGCTTGACAATACACTACAACTCCCAAGGATCCAGACCCCCACCCCACCCCACCCCAGCCCCACCGGCCTAACCCCTGTGGCACTGTCAGATATACTTTGATCCGTCTCTAGACAGTTTGCAATCCACGTCCCATATGATCTCAAAACTGGTACCATCATAAATTAGGTGCAATCTACTATGTGTTAGCCAGCCTCGTATTTGAACTAGGTGTTTGAATTATTCTTATAAGCTTACCAGATTTCCATGGGCAAGTTCTACTGGATATACCGAGTTAACAGTCGAAAGTGACCTGTGTAAACCAATGATAGCTTTTGGCATTGGATGAATGTGATGGTTGGGCATGCAAGACCATCCATCGCTTTTCTCGGTCTGGTTGCCTCCCTTTTCCAACGATTTTGTCCCGGAAACAGATTTATTCAATAACCATCGTTGATTACACACGTTTTTGTGCGATGAACAGCAGATAGGAGTGAACCCGATAGTCACGCAGATCAGTGTTGGAAACCGAAGCCCCGCGAGACGGATCACATAAGGCCCCGCTAGGATGGGTATC